TAATGTATAACTGCAATCGTCTTCTCTTAGGATGAAATATCCAGACAGTTCTTCGACACTCTACTCCCAATTTGCAAAGAGGAGCTTGGAGCCGAATGTGTAAGTGGAACCAGGCCGCCGGTCCGTTTGGTCTAGTCTGTGTTTGTACGTCACCATGACATCAAATCTGTTTTATTTTACCAGATTGGAGCCTTTTAAGCTGGATGCTGCTGCTTATCCTTTCCTCGCTTTCTCTGGCATCCCCTCGGTCTCATTTGGATTCACCTCTGGTAACTTGGTGAGTCGTCCATCCTACCACAACTTGCATCAGTCTTTTTGAGCCAGTTTTGTAGCCACAGCCTGAGACCAGCTTTTACATTGAGCCATCACGTTAGTTTGTTCATCCCGCGGTCTAGTTTCTGCTCTGTAATCAACACCTTTCTTCCCCCTCTCAGGAATACCCGTACTTCGGCACAGAGCTGGACACCAGGGAGAAACTGAACGTGGCTGCGGGCAATCAGGTTCCTCAGCTGGCAGAAACGGCGGCTCGGTTCGCAGGTCACATGGTGCTGAGGCTGGTCCATGATCACCTGCTGCGTATGGACGTGATGAAGTACAACAATATTATCCGCAACCATGTTGTCCAGATCAACACCAAAGTCTATTCTGTTAAGAGGGTGAGTGCCGGGTTTTTCTTTCTGGCATGGATTGAACTATTTGATTTGTTACCTTTTCAGAATCAATTGCAAATAAATACTACATTAAAATTCACGCTTTGAAAGTAGACAAGTTACTTGTTTGTTTGTTTTTTAAATTGATTTTATTGCGGATATGTTGCCACCCAAATGTCTCAAAGATGCACATCTAGTTTAGTTTCTTCAGAATATCACACCTCGTGGTTGCCATGTGTGCTTGCAGATGCAGCCCCAGCTGTTGCCCAAGGCCTTGACTGTGCAGTGGTTAATCTCGGCCTCCGGCTCCTACGGACGCGTGGCTCAGCGGCTGGTGACGGACATGCAGAACAGTGACCTGGAGGACATTGAGATGTGTCGCATCATTAATGACCGCATAATGGCGGTAAGACCATGACTCGTAAAGTCCTAAAACAAAGTTATAGCCTCAAGTTTTATAGCTACTCACTGTTGACCCCTGACCCCCCCTTGGCTGTGAGAAACAAATTGGTAAGAGCTGGAATTGGTGGCAGTTACTATGTAGAACATGTATTCATTGTAGCTATTCATTGTAGCTAGTTGTGAAGATGTCATATACCTCCTTGACCTTTTGCAACATTTGGTTGAAATGGGTTAAATCTGTGAGGTCGGCAGCTCGCTTTGCCTTCTACACTAATCCACGCTCACACAGTCCGGATGAAGCACGTCACCACAGTTCACGAGTATTCACATAAATTCAAAGTTGTCTTTATAACTGTTAATGTTGCTTAGGTGTGTAGAAATCCTTATCCTTTGAGAAAAATGTCTTAAACTGACTTTAAAAATCTATTCAAATACTTATTTCAGAAAGTAGCAAA